GAGAGAGAGAGAGAGAGAGAGAGAGAGAGAGAGAGAGAGAGAGAGAAGGAGGGGGAAGAGAAGAGAGAGACGTGGAACAGGGCTGTTTGTATTTCATGACATTTCTTTCTGTCTTTCTTTTTCTTTCTTTCTTTTTCTCCCCCTGCTGCCTGCCCCTATAATTCATTCATATTCTCCCTACTCTGGACGAATTGTGTCATGGCCAAGTCTAAAGGCTAAATCAAATGCTAAAGAGTAAGAATTGTTATAAATATTATAAATTATTTCTAAAGAACACACGGACACAGGCACACTAAAGGGGCAGATGGCAAAAAAAAAAAAAAAAAAGGAAATACTGGACTCCAAGAAAAAGGTAAACAGAATATAGTGGGTGTGAATGGGGCAGGGCAGGGTAGGGCATGGCTGGAAGAAATATACAGCAGTATATTTAAATATGATGTTGCTGAAAGTTTTTTAATTGAAAAGGTTGACTATACAGTTGCAGGGGTGATTGATGTTTCCAGCCTCCTCTTTCTGGGGTTCCTGGGCAGACACAGAGAATACATGCAACACAAAGTCCTCCATTACATTCAGCGTGGCTCTCTCGCAGACACTCAGTTACAATTTATCAAGTTTTGCAGGCAACGTACGTACGTGTGTGTGTGTGTGTGTGTTAGAGTTTAAAGATCAAACTTTGAGCCATATGGCCATTCAGTTGGCAGCACCAGTATTGCAAAGTTGGGACCTTTTTAACCCTTTGTTCTCTTTACCAATTATATGTGCAATATGTATGTGAGAGAGAAGAGGAGAGAGAGAAACCTTGGGGAAAGAATAATTATTTTTGTTTTTCCCAGCAATGGATTAGGAAGAATAACTATGGGTTACTTTACACTGAAAAGCACACCTGATAGATTCAACTTGCAGCCCAATCTTATACATGCTCACACAGAAGAAAACGCCACTGTGTTCAGTGGTGTTTACTTTAGAGTAAGAGTGCACAGTACTGCAACTTTAGGGCTGCAGTCCAGGAGATTGGGCTACTTACTGCTAGCCCAATGTAAGTTTCATTCATTTCAATGGGCTTACTCGAAGTAGGACCCACATTGGAGACAACCCATCACAACTATTTTTCTCCACTTGCCCTAACCAAGTAGGGTAAATACACAGGCCTGATAGGAAGGAAACATTTCAGGCAAATGATCACATGCACACACACAATTGACACATGTTCCTTGCACTGAGAAAACTAGAATTGTGAAAATACGGTGAAGCTGGAATTGTAAAAATGCTGCCGCAGGTTTATACCTGGCTATTCTGTTACTAAGTTTCTTGACCTTTGCAGTGAAGAAGTTGGATGAGCAGATCAACTGAGAGTTTACCAACTGAGAACACTACCAGGCGGAGAGGTGTCACCCTGTTTAGGACAGCCCTTGTTCTTTGGCTGCTGGTTTCTAACCTGAACGCACTGCAGCCACTACAGTTGATCCTGACCCATTTAAAACCAACAGAACTTCTGCACTAACTTGAATGAGATGTAGATTTCCCCCATAATTGGCATTCTCTTGTCAATCACCCCCTCCCTCCCTCCTGGCCCTTCTAACACGGATGCCGGAACAATTTGTTTAATGAATGTCTTGATCATTGGGGATAAAGTGACAATAATAGCTTCTCTTAAACACCTCTTCCTCTGGTCTTTGGAAATCCTGGTTCACCTGAAGTCTACAGTTGCCTAGTGGTGTACCGATATTAATACGAGATGAAAGTGAGATGCATTATAACTCAGAACACAACTGGGGTAGATTAAAGTACACTATTTAAAATAATATACAGAAATGCACTGGATTGGCTCATGCTAATCTTCAATCTGATTTCCTGTTTGGGGGTGTTTACAGAATGCAGCTAAAGGTCATTGAACAAGCCTCCCAGAGAAGAGCTGTAAAGTCCAGGTCAACCGCAATCCACTTTCAGATCAAGACAGGAGAGTAATTTGTGTGCTTAAAAAACTCTTGCTAATCTCTCTCCCTTTCTCTCTCCATCTTTCTCTGCTCCTTTCCACATATATACACAACCACACTAGAAACGCTCCCTGTGCAAACACATCTGTACTATACTCCTCCCAACCACCCTTTCTGCCTCCCTCAGGGAAGTAAACAAACCTTGATCTGCTACAGTTCCTCTATATAATATCTACAGCAGTGTCAGTGTAACAAATTATTCCAAGTGCAGGGACAGGGGTGCACTTCAGCCAAAACTGTTTGCAGACAATGCAAAAAAGGACGAACTCTAGGATGATTACTAAAGAAATAGATGGGAGTTCCCATACAAGAACTAAGAGATGCATTTTCGAAGAGTCAACCATATAGATGCACATACAGATTTAAACGGGGTGCACACAGCGACAGGTCTATGGATAATGCATTTACAGCTGCAAGGCTAGGACTTCTGAGTAGAATCTCAGCTCAAACACATTGCCCCATCTTGTGATGTCACAGAGTACAAACCACAATCCCTAAAATCAATGGCAGATCGGCCATTGACTTCAGTGACAAGTACTAAGGCACCAGAAACCTTCATTTTAATAATAACAACAACAACAACAATAATAATAGTAAGTAAAGAAAATAAGCTTAACTTAGAGAGCATCCACTGGCCAGGAAACCAGTGCCACTCACACACCCCAGTGTTTGTCTATTTAGTAGGAAGCAAAGAAGCAAAATAACTCACCAGACATTCCAAAGTCAAGCTGTGTCACACTCACTGGTTTTTATTGAACAAGGGGACTTTCACATATACACTAAAACTCTTTTATTGCAAGTTTACAATGATCATGTCAAATCAGTCCAAAGAAACAAACAAACAAACCCCATACAGGAACCACGACAAACCCCAAACAAAAAGCTAGCCACTGTATTTTTCTTTCAACTTTCTCTCTGTTCATTTGCCATCTCTCTTTTCTTTTGCCTCTCACATTGAAATAAACCGTAAGTTTAGCAGCTACTACTCCCTCGTGTGCTGTTTTTTCCCCTTTGTGTGTGTGGTTTTTTTTAAGTCTTTCCCCACATTTATACAAAAAGAAAGGAAGAAAAAAAAAAGCCTTCAATGGTCCATTTTTTGTTCTCCATTTGTAAACGCACAGAGCAAAATCACTGCATTCTTTCCTTGCCTGTGTAATTATTAGCATATGCCCCGAATTTTCATCTAAAACAGAACGTTTAGTTCCCACCCCAACATACACTCACGCACGCTCACACACACAGCTCATCCTTTCACTCCTTTTAAAAAATAAATAAAACCCTGAAAATGGCATTTAAAAAAACCAGCAGGTATTTCACCTGGCCTCTCATGCTAATAATACATGCACCTAAAGCGTGAGATCTCACAGAAGACCTCATTCTTTTGTGTGTGTGTTTTTCCCCCTTTTTAATATATATGCGCACGGGAAAACTACGAGGGGGAAAAAGAACCAAAATATATAGATATATATTAGATTCTATAAATAATCAGAGTCATTTTTATGGGGGTGTTTTTTGTTTTTGTTTTTGTTTTTGTTTTTATAACCTTGTAATATCCTCTGCTCGTTGGTCCTGAGAGGAGCTTTGAGAATGTTCTTCGCTGGCAACCGCATTGGAAGATGCAGGAATAACGCTGGCCGAGGAATTGGTGGGCGCCGTGGATCTCACTTTGGTATTGGGCAGCCTGTGGTCTTTTTTCCATTTCATCCGCCTGTTCTGAAACCAGATCTTGATCTGTCTCTCCGAGAGACACAAGGAGTGGGCGATTTCGATGCGCCTCCGCCTCGTCAGGTATCTATTATAGTGGAACTCTTTTTCCAATTCCAAGACCTGCTGTCTGGTGTAGGCAGTTCTGGATCGCTTGGGTTCGCCTCCATTGTAATTGGGGTTCACTGGAAAAACCAAAGATTAGCATGAATACAGAGAGGAGCAGAGAGAGAGAGAGAGAGAGAGAGAGAGAGAGAGAAAGGCAGCAGGAGAGCCGAAGAGAAGCACAGAGAGGGAGAGAAAGCAAGATCTCCAGTGGCTGAGCGGAGAGAGGGGGAGAGAGAAAGAGCGAGAGGGGGAGAGGGAAAAAAAACTCATCAGCTAAATGGGTTATAAAGAACCCAAGACTTTCTCTTCTAATAAGAAGGGGTTTCCCTGGCTTGAAAAGAGCCTGAATTATTTATGCACCCCTCGCAAAGCCTTCGGAGTTTCACACATACATAACAGAACGAACCACATGGCTGGGGCTGCCCAGACTAGCTTGGCTATAAAATTTATGGTGGGTGTAATTACCCACTCGGAGTCGTAAATCCAGCTCAATTGTGCTAACCCAAAGACTCTCGTGAAGGCAAAGGAGGAGATGGGAAAAAAGGAGAGAGCGAGAGAGAGTGTGAGAGAGAGAGTGAGATATGGGGGGAGAGAGAGTGAGAGAGAGAGGCTGCGAGCATGGTGTGAAGAGGAAGGGGAGAAAAAAAACCCACACACACACACACACACACACACACACACACAGAGCAGAGAGAAAGGGAGCAGAGGAGCAAAAGTTGCCTACCAGTACTGACGTGGATTTTTTTCATCCAGGGATAGACTATGGGCTGCTTAGTGGCCGTGCCGCTGGGATGCTCGGGGTTTTGCTGGTTGCAAGCTGGAGGGGCCGGGGCTGGAGAGGTGGCTGCGCTGGAGAGAGCCGCTTGGTCACAGAGCTGCTGCGGCTTCTCGGGGAGATGGTGGCCTCCCGGCGGTTGTCCATGGCCCCTTTGGTGCGCCGGGGGGTTGCCGGGACCTTGGAGGCTGGCACAGCTGTACTGGCGCTCGGGGTAGCTGGGTCGCTGTGGAGGAGGTGGAGGGTACAATTCCTGGTGATGATGCTGGAAACTGGACTCCCTCGTCCGGCTGTAATATTCCGGACTGTGGTCTGGGATGTAATTATTTTGCGAATATTCTTCGCATGGAGGAAATTTCGGATCGATGTAGTTAGAGTCCATCAAATACGAGCTCATGATCATTAATTTCTGGAGTGGAAAATAATTTTTCTCGCTTTGTCGTTTTTCTGCTCCATAAAACCCTCCTACTAGCTGGCGACCCCGTAAAGTTAGTTTCACCATGTGACTATTTGCGCCAATCACGCCAGCCGAGCTAGTCCCCGGATAAGGAACCAAAAGCTTATTCAAAATGTATCCAATTTGTGTGCGCGAGCGTGTGCGTGTCCTTGTTGTTGTTTGTGTGGACCCCTTAAACTCCCAGCAAAGAGGTGTGTTTTGTATGTGTGCAGGGGTGATCTTGCAACCACACCGAATTTTTCTTCTTAAAAAGGCAACATACACGATCATCATCATCAGCAGCAGCAGGATCACCCTAATAGAAGTAAACTCATTCATTTGGCAGAGAGATGATACGTAGGAGGAGACCCTACGACGCCCGCCTCAGGTACACACAAACTCCTCTCTTGTAGAAATCCAAGAACTAAGTGAGAGTTAAAACAGGAAGAACAAGCCTCTTTTTACACTGCAGAGACCGTGCTGCTCGCTTCACCTATTGGGGGGGGGGGGGGAGCCGATGGGGAGAGGTGCCCCCGCCTCCCTCCGCCTCCCTCCCCGGACATGGTTTGGTAGCATTGTCTGCAGAACTGTTCTCCCCAACCCCCAATCCCCAGCACACACAATACACACAATCCGAAAGCTGGAAGGAAGTTCAAGATATGCAATTCTGGGGTTTTTTGTTTTGCTGTTGTTTTTTTGGTAGAAGAGAGACAAAGAAGCCAGGTTACCTGGGTGGGAGGGGGAAAGAGAGTATGCAAATCATATGTGCGTCACTTGGAGTGCTCTAGAAATGCTCATCAACCTTTGCTTAAGGGCGATCTTAGATGGTTGCAATAGGAGCTCATGACTGTGAATGAAAGCAGAAGTTCTATTCGGCCAGATGGCAAAGACCACCAGCCATTCAGTCCTGAACACCAGGGACTAGGGACGGAGTGGCGGGGGAAGTGGAGAAGATTGTGGTGGGGATCCAGTAGCTACTTGTTTTTCATTTTTGCTAGGTTTTAATAAACATTTAACAAGGGAGGGTTCTCTTTATTGTAATTGTGGGAAAGCATGCACATAGAGTTTGGACCTGAATTTAGGTAGGTGGGCAGGTAGGTCGAAAGAGAGGAAAGAAAAAAGATAGGATTGTTCATACAAAAGATAAGGGTGATTCCCCCCCCCCCCGCCCCCCTGCCCAGCAATGAATGGGAAAGCATGTACAGAATATCCAATGCAGAACATCTGATTTCTTTGCTGAGTGGTGGTGGACACAAAAAGGAAGGCAGGATACACACACACACGCACACACACACATGCCAATATAAACAGACCCCTGGGTAGATTAAAGAAGCTGAGATGTGAAGCAAACATTTTAAAGAGTGCAGTTATTGCAGTTAAGGGCTTTATCTATAGCTTACATTAAGAAGATGGGGCACAGAGAGTTGGATTAATCCCTTGTACTGCTTGATAACAATTATAGTTGAAAATCATAGCTTGCAGGGCAATGCAATATTTTACTTGATAACAATAAAAGTGACACATAAAGTTAACTGTTTATGTTTTATTTATTAGACTAAATGTGCCAGCGGTGTCGGAGGCTCTGGGCTGGTTGTAACAGTTTTTATGGGGCTGTAAAATGCCATAAATCAGTCACTTGAAATGGTTAGGTCTCTCTCTCTCTCTCCCTCTCCTTCTCCCCCTCCCTGTCTCTCTCTCTCTCTGGCAAGGGCTTGTGTGAGCTTGTGTTTGCAGTGACTGTTGTTCCTTCTTTCCAAGAAAAAGTAATATTTGTGGATTTTATTATCAAGAGCACCCTTTATCTTCCCCTGTGGTTTTAACTATTTATTCAAGAACTAGCTGTTAGAATGTCCCTTCACTGTGTTTGCCTGTTTTTTCTTGAAATGCCTGTGCGCGCGTGTGTGTGTGCCTTAAAAAAACACAGACCTCTGAGATTTTAATTAGAAAATCTGCAATTAAGGGAAAACCAAAGAAAGCAGAACATTAACAAGGCTCTGGCATCGTCCATATACTCCCCTAGAGACGAATTTGTGATTGAGGTACTCACACAAATTCGATTCTACAGGGTACATATAAACGACTGGAGAATTTGGCCTTGCTGATACTGGGAGAAGGGGGATATTCCCCCACCCCCCGTTATGTCCTCTGAAACTGTTATTTTGCTCTTGGATGTGAGGTGTGTGTGCTGGTGGTGGTGAGGATGGTGGGAAGAGAGAGAGAGAGAGAGAGAGAGAGAGAGAGAGAGAGAGAGAGAGA